GTTCTCCTTCATAGTGAAATCTCCCCTCCCCTTCCCCGTGGACGTAGGCAAGTTTTTCGAACCATGTAAATCTCGTGTCTTTACTATTTTCTGGGTGTTGACTATTGCTTGTATGTTCCCTCGACAATTCAGTCCTAGAACTAATGAGAGGAAGAGTGTATATCTCACTTTGTTGAGATATTTTATTTCTGTTCTTGTTTCCTTTATGAAACGAGGATATAGAGGTTGGCTTGAGATTTTGTGAAAATAAAAGCCATGACTTTCTCTCGGGTTATATTGCTTCTGCGGAGTGAGGGTGTGACTCTGCGCCCAACAATTTGGTATCAGAACCCTTTATTCAGATTGGTGGTGGTAGAATTTTTGATTTGAGGTGGTGCTTGGTTATTGTGTGGTGCACACAAGGTATTTGTTAAAATTTTCTGAGAGAAACAGATTTATTAATACAAGCGGAGAATGACGTCTATAAGTAAAACAGTTAAAGTTAAAAAGTATGAGATCGAGAAATTCAATGGGAAAAATAATTTTTTCTATTGGAGGATGCAGATAAAAAATTCGCTGATTTCGCAGAAATTACACAAGGTGTTGGCGGGAAAAGAAAAGAAGCACAAAGATATGTCAGATGAGGATTGGTAAGAGTTAGATCTCGAAGCACGTGTGTCGATTATCCTATACCTTGAGAGGGATGTTGCTTTCTTGGTAGATGGAGAGGAAATGACTACGGGCATGTGGTCAAAGTTAGAGATTACATTCATAACGAAGAGTCTAACAAATCGACTCTACTAAAAATCTAAATTGTATACTTACAAGATGGAGGAAGGCTCATCAATCCGGAAATACATCAACAAGTTTGATAGGATCATATCAGACTTATAGGACATAGACGTGACAGTTGAAGATAAGGATCAAGCGCTTCTACTACTTCTATCTCTGCCGAAGTCTTATGAGAACCTAGTGCAAACACTGATGCTTGTGGGAGATAATTTGATGATGGATGAGACTAGAACGACGATTCTAGCGGATAACCTTCGGAAGATTGCAACCAGTGACATGACTACTGGTGATAGCAAAGAACAAACGCATGGATTGTTTGCTAGAGGAAGGAGCAATGAGCGAGAAAAATGTAAGGGAGGAAAGTCTAGATCTAAATCAAAGAGCGTGTTTCAAATGCGGTAAAGTTGGACATTTCAAGGTCGACTGTCCAAATAAGAGAGTAGGTGGGAAGAAGAATAACAACAAGACTGAGAGGAGAGAAGACAAGGAAGAAGCGAGCTATGTTTCAGAGGAAGGGAGCGAGAAGGAATGCTATGTCGTCACGGGTGGCGAGGATATTTCCGGGAAGTGAATTCTTGATTCAGGTTGCTCTTACCACATGTGCCAAAATAGAAAGTGGTTTACTACCTATAGAAGCATTGATGATGAAACCATATTGATGGGAAACAACCATGCTTGTAAAATGGTGGGGCTAGGTAATATCAAGATCAAGATGCATGATGGAGTGGTCCGAACCTTGACGGATGTGAGGCACGTTCCTGACTTGCGGAAGAATCTTATCTTAGTTGGTGCATTGGACTCCGGTGGTTGCAAGATTGTTATAGAGAACGGAGTGAAAAAGGTTGTTTGGGGTTCTCTTATAGTGATGAAGGGTGTTCATCACGGTAATTTATATATTCTCTTGAGTACAACAGAGACGGGGGATACAACAGTTGGAACTGAAGGAAGTGGTAGAGACCCATGTGAGCACACACGGTTATGGCATAGGCGGCTTAGGCACATGTCAGAAAAGGGTCTAGTTCTGCTTGGTAAGGAGCGTCTGCTGAAGAATCTGAAGAAACCTTGCATGGATTTTTGTGAGGATTGTGTGTATGAAAAGGCACACATGATCCAGTTTCTGAGAAGCAAGTCTAAGAGCAGGGGATACTAGATTATGTGCACACGGATGTTTGGGGTCCAGCTCAAACAACTTCCAAAGGGGTTCCAGGTATTTCGTCTCATTCATAGATGATTATCTGAGATATGCTTGGATTTATTTTCTAAAGCAAAAGAATGAGGTGTTTGAGACATTCAAAAAGTGGAAGGCAATGGTTGAGAACAGGACAAGGAAGAAATTGAAGACACTGAGATCTGACAACGGTATAAAATACACAAATGGTGCCTTCAAGGAGTTTTGTGATCATGAGGGCATTGTTTGACACTAGACAGTCAGGTCAGCACCACAACAAATAGAGTCGCGGAGAGACTGAACCGAACATTACGGGAGAAAGCAATGAGTATGTGATCTTATGCTGGATTGGGCAAGGAATGGTGGGCAGAAGCAGTGGCTATAGCTTGTTATATTGTTAACCGTTCTCCACATTCTACATTGGATAGTGATACACCCTATAGGTGTGGTCAGGGGAGCATGCAGATTGTGAGAGGCTATGAATTTTCGAGTGTACCGCCTATTATCACGTCAATGAGGGAAAGATTGACGCGAGAGCTAAGAAGACTGTATTCTTGGGATATGAAAAGGGTGTAAAAGGCTACCGTTTTTTGTGTACAGAAGATTCAAAGTTCGTGATCAGCAGGGATATTACCTTTGATGAGAAATCCATGATTACTAAGACGCCCAAGGATGATGGTGTTGGGACTGTTGGGACTTTAAAGTCCCAGGTTATTGAAATAAAACCTAAAGTTCAACCATGTTCTAGTCATGTTCAAGTGGAAAATCAGGTAGATGATGAGCTTGAGTAGGAGGAGGTTCAGCAGGAGAATACACAGGCACTACAATAACAGCAGCTCGAGGATAGTTTGGCTTCCACTAGGCCAAGGCGAGCATACAAGTACGTACTGAAGCTGGGGGCTGATCAACCCATGAAGCACTATGGGCAAGTTAATTTGGTGGAATACGCACTCTCGGTAGAGGATGATGAGCCGATCTCCTTCAAGGAAGCTATTTGGGATAGAGATAGTGAGAGTTGGTTAGCTGTGATGGAGGAGGAGATGAAATATCTTCGGAAGAACCAAACATGAGATGTGGTCCCATTGCCCGTAGGAAGAAAAGCTATTGGTTGTAAGTGTGTGTATATGAGAAAGGAAGATCCTTCAGAGATCGGTGGTACAAGGTACAAGGCAAGGCTAGTGGCTAAAAGGTTTGCACAAAGAGGGTGTGGATTACAATGAGACCTTTTCTCCGGCGGTGAAACACACTTCTATTCGCGTGCTATTGAGTATTGTTGCTCATGGTGATCTTGAGCTGAAATAACTCGATGTCAAAATGGCCTTTTTGCATGGAGACTCGGATGAAGAGATCTATATGCATTAACCTGAAGGCTATAAGGTTGACAATAAGGAGCATCATGTATGTCGCTTGAGGAAGTCACTTTATGGATTGAAGCAATCTCCTCGGCAAGCGATTTGACTCCTTCATGCTGAAGCATGGATTTTTCAGAAGCGACTATGATTGTTGTGTCTACATTCGGAAGCTTCGTGAAGGTGATTATATCTATTTTTTTGTATGTGGATGACATGCTTATTGCTTCGAGAAGCAAGGTAGAGATAGATAGGCTAAAATCTTAACTTGGTAAAGAGTTTGAGATGAAGGACATGAGCGCTGCTAAGAAAATACAGGGTATGAAGATTAGAATAGAGCGGGTGAATCGGCGATTGTTCTTGAGTCAGAAGGGTTACATAGAGCGGGTTAACGCAAGGTTCGGGATGCAAAGTGCTAAGTCGGTGGTGACTCCATTGGCTCCACACTTCAGGCTTTCAGGTAAACAATCTCCCACTACAATGGAAGAGAATGCACACATGGAGCGTGTTCCTTATGCTAGTGTAGTTAGCAGTTTGATATACGTCATGATGTGTACACGTCCAGATATTTTTTCATAGGCGGTCAGTGTGGTCAGCAGATTCATGACAAATCCGGGAAAGACACATTGGGAAGCGATGAAGTGGGTCCTGCGGTACTTGAAGGGTACTGTTGATACGGGGTTGTGTTTTGGTGGAGATACATGTCAGATTGATGGGTTTGTTGACTCTGATTATGCGGGCGATCTAGATAGACGGCGATCTACGGTTATGTATTTAGGATACATGAGGCTCCAGTTAGTTAGCGATCGATGTTGTAGGCTACAGTGACACTTTCTACTACAGAGGCCGATTATATGGCCATGACGGAGGGAATGAATGAAGCATTGTAGTTATGGGGTTTTCTAGACAATTTGGGGATTGAACAGGAGAACGTGAACTTGTGGTGCGACAGTCAGAGTGCGATTCACTTGGCGAAGAATCAAGTTCATCATATTCGTACCAAGCATATCGATGTCAGATATCATTTCGTGCAGGATATCATAGAGGAATGTGATATTTCTCTCATGAATGTGCATACGAATGAGAATCCCGCGGACATGTTAATCAAGGTGGTCACAAGTAGCAAGTTAAAGCATTGCTTGTACTTGTTTCATATCAGCCCGTGTTGAACTGCCCAAGAGGACATGACCCTTCGAGACGGTGATGGGGTGAGGTGGAGACTATATGGAGAACAAAACCTGAACTACTGTTAGCTTGATCCCGGTGGAGGGTACGTAGGCAGCCGCGGCAAAATGGTGCAACTAGTTTGGCCCGGTTTGGCCTGGTTTGGTGTTTCAGATCTCTCTGGTGATGTTCGCGGTGTTCTTCCGGTGTTCGTCCAAAATTTGAGGTTTATCAAATGATATACGAGGTGGAGAATCGTGAACGTGTGTGCCCGAGACACACGGGGGCCAGCGGAGTCTTAGGGTTATATCGCTTTCGCGGTGTGAGGACGTGACTCTGAGACCAACAGAAACGGAAGCAGCGAGAGTCTGAGTAGTTAGGAAAGCTATGGATTAAGAAACCAAGAAGGAATAAATCAAAGTGAAATGGATGTGTTTACAGTGCACACCAAATATACTAAAACACAATAAAATAGAAACAAAAAAAAAAAATCATCAGTTTGGCAAACATGTATATATTATATGTTATATTGAGAGCAGGGTAAACACCTTCCATAAAGCATTTCTGAAAAGTAACGAATCTCTGCTGAGCAAATCATCCATCTGGTCCAACTCTTTCTTGGTCTGCAGAATGGTTTTTGCCAGGACTTTATCTTCATCAGCATCAAAAAAACATGCACGCTGCTTTGCATTGTGGACTAATGATTTCCAGACAGAGTCACTTTTAGCTAAAGTAGCTCCATTACCAATAATCCACAGACAATGCCTACATAAGAGCAAACTAAAAACATATTGAAGTAGAACAAATGAATTCAAAACAAAATGGGTAATATGCAACAAGTCATTGAAAACAACAGGCTAAAGTAGGTTATGAGTTCTAACAGATGTGAGTCACACACCTTGCCCTTGTTAAAGCAACGTTGGCTCTTTGGCGATTGGAAACAAACCCTATGCAACCGTTTTCATTTGCCCGAACAGTTGATATTATGATGAGATCTTTTTCCCCTCCTTGAAATCCATCAACTGATTTGACAGTAACCACAAAATAATCATTTGTTGGCATATTCCTGAGTTTCTCTTGAATTGCTGCAACTTGAGCAGAATATGGAGATATTACTCCAACTGTAAGCTTCTGTGTCATGGTACAGCAAGCTGCAACGCACCAATAATATATATGAAATCGACCATATAAGAAATAAGTCTTGATTTTAGCCAATATTTCTGTTGAAGAGTGCCGCAATACAAAATATGTTACAATATATAATGTTTTTAACTTTAAATGAACTTCAGCAAAATAATCGGGATACTGACGTCAGTGATTCCTATATTTGAAGATGAGTTGCTTCAGCAAACATCATAAGGTTAGCAATAGAAGGTAGTCATCAGCCCTATGTGGACAGCTGGCTACTAGATTAGAATTTCAATTTATCAATATACGCCGTGTTTAGGCTTCTTAGGTAAAAACTCAAAATATAACTTCCAGTAGTTAGACTGAGGTTGAGTGACAGCTAATGTACAGCCATAAACATATCTGAGCAGCATATAACCTAAACTATGTACAGTTCGAATAAGGCTAACTGTTGCAAAGATAAGATTCACATGATAAAGCGAACACATTAACAATATTTAGGGGTTTGCATATGTTAATGGGGTATGGCATTTTCACAAAACTCAAAATCATGCAATTTAATCAACTAGGATATATAAGAAAAATATACCTTTATAAAGTCTCTGTATGATTTGAAATATAACAGCAACCTCTACCATGTTCTTTAGACTGTGTCCAACATCATCATGTTCTTCTCTTCCATCAACAACATTGATGACGGAAAAAGGACCATACATTTTTCCAGGAAGATAAAACTTTTCATATGATGGGCGCTGGACATTGGCACCATCTAAAATTTGTCCACCATAGAACTTGGCATTAGGGAATAAGCTAATAGAAGGATGCATCCTGTATTGGATCTGAACAAGGTGTTTTGGATGTCCCAGTGCACTTAATCTTTCAAATAGACTTCGTCCGAAACCAACTCCCTCCGAGACCTACAAAAGAAAAAAGTGATGCAGATGACTACTTTTCACGCTTTAAAATAAATACAAGAGTTGATGAGACAATCGGCACCTTGCTCTTAATTGTAGCAGGGAGCTGGCGTTCATCACCGATAAGAATAGCATGCTGGATACCAGGCAATTGCACTGGAATTGTAGATTCCGATTCTTTCAACTGACCTGCTTCATCAATAACTAACAAATCTAGCGGAGCGAGCTTTAATTTCTTAGAATATAGCCGAAAAGAAGTTGAAGCAGTGCAAAAGATGAGAGACGCTGTATTCAAGCAAAACGACTGGACAACGTGCACTTGTCTTTTATCCTTTTGAAAAGTTGGAGTTTGGACATTCTTACAGAGGGACCTCAAAGTATGTAGAAGCTGATATCCAGTGCTGTACAGAATGGATCCATTAGGGCTTTGGGTAGTAGCAAGATGAGGTTCACACAGCTGTTCTCCATCACTCACATTAGCTTGGTGTATCAAGCTTTCAAAAGCATCAAGCAGGTTTATAAGAGTGGATATATAATCGAAGTTTTCCCTTGAGATCGTGGAAGTTGTCAGGTGTGTGCACAAACTGACCATGCAGGTCTTAAGAGGGAATGCCAAACAACTAAACCTTTCGGTGACAAAGTCAAGAAAAGTAGCGTCACCTCCATCTATGTGATGCCTATAAACACAGGACTCGAGAAATTGTATCATAGATGAAGCATGATGTCTCCATCCAGACAAACACCGCAATAGTCTATCTGTGCGATAGTCAATGAATATATCACGTAGATTATCATCAACTTTTAGCCGGTTCTTGTCACCAAACAGAACGATGTCTCCAAGTGAATAGCACGAGAATCCAGCCCTTCTGGCCGCTAAACAACTGTTTTGAACTAATTTCAGAACGCGGGAAGCCACCTCTGTAATCGCAACATTTGTTGGCGCGCATACGAGGACTCTGTGTTTCATCGTCAAAAGGGTGCACAGCAAACTGCTAAGAGTTTTTGTTTTACCGGTGCCAGGCGGACCCCATATGAGCTTAACTGAAGATCTGTGCTTGCATTGAGCAGTTGCAATCAAGTCAGTTATTGCACCTCTCTGCGAATCGTTCAGGTCAGGGTAGTTACTTGCCGAAGTATCAAGCCCGCCCGCAGGGCACTCATCGCAGGAATCATCAGCCTGTTAATCAGTACAAGAAATAATGACAAAATGAATAAATAATTATTTTCAAATGAAGCAGCGCCTATTTAACAGTGGAAAAATAATACGCACCCTCAATGAATGTCCAGCGAGAACTCTCTGGATGATGTTTGTCTCCGACCCCAAGCCTCGACCCAACCCGAGGGCAGACCAAACCCTGCTGTTGGTTGTGATGTTAGCCAAGAAAATTGCATGGCGGTACTTCTCCAGCTCACCGTCGCCGTCCAATGCACGCGACGGCGAAACCGTAAAGTCCGGAAGTTGCTCGTTGTCATCTTCATCAACATCCTCCTCGTCTTTTACTCTCGTTACGGAAGCAAGAACGTATCTACTCCCGAAACGACTGAGATCGGTGACAGTCTCCGGCTTGACGTTCGAGAGTATGAGAATGTCTCCGGGTGACGGGCTGTAAGTCTCATCCCTACTAGCATTATATCTGTTCTTCCAAGAGCCAACCTTAACATCATAAAGACCCCGCCGCGTCATAGTATTATAATCCTTATACTTGATCCAAATTACTTCAGAGATAAGAGAGGTAGTAATTGTCTCCATGCTAGAACAAAGTCCCATTCTTGTTTCCTCAAGCAGAGGGAACATGAATGACCTGAAGTACTGCGATACTGAATGGAAGTTTGTGGGTATTTTTTCCACCTGATAACACTTAAACAGTCAGTAGACCTTGATATGCATCAAATTTCTTTTGTCGCTACAAGAATCATTAATACTAGTTATTGAACTATCAATTATACTATATTGAAAAGCTAACCAATATCATAGTATAAAATAAAAAATTAAAAATATATATTGTATTTGCCTCCTCGATAACGAGTCAATTTCCCACAAGTAGGGTCCAAGATGAACTAACCTTTTCCTTGTACAGATTGCCATCGAGAACGTCGTCAAGTGACCAGGAAAATACCAAATCTAGGAGATCCCCAGGCAAGTTGTCCCCCTCAACTGTGTTAGCCATTGCATCCAAAGCTTAAAAACAAAACCTATTTCTGACCCAAATTCAAGCAAGCTTTAAACTTGAACTGAAGTTCTAATTGTTGAAGACGAGCAAGAAATAGGAAGTAGAGATGATGGGGAACGTCCAGTGGCAGTTCTTTCAAGTGGATAGTTAGTAGGCGTTGAGTAGAATAAATTACGTGGACCCAAGGTCATCTATATTTTCTATTAAATCTCTTATCACTGCATATGAAACTTGTCAATTTTTTCTTTTTTAATATTATTTTTAGCCATGTCATCTTCTCAAGCAATTTTGTGTAAAGTTTTTGTGACATAGGTCCTTAACGAATTTATATTTGCACTACTCAGCTTTAAGTTCTGTCTCATTGTTTTCTCAATGCTAAATGGCTTATCTTTTTCTCCCGTATCAATTTAAAGCAACATTTTTTCCTCCATACCTTTCTTTTCAAATTCCTAAAGCAAAGCAGTAAAAATATTCTTTCTCCCTTTCTCCTCTATCTTTCCAATCTTATTGCTACTCCTCCAATGATGGCAACCTCCCTTACGCTTACTTACCTCTTCCTCTTTTTAGCTCTCCACAGACCCACCTATAGTGCCTCCATTCCCTAAGCCGATGTTGACGACATCCATGATTGTAGGCGTCAAAAATTGCCTATAGGTCCTCGAACGCAGCTCGAAACGAAGAGAAGATGATGAACGTCATTATTGTTGGCCTTCTTGTTTTGATGATGATTTACAAACAATTTACATCTAATATTGTTTGTCTAGTGTTTGTGTTTTATATTTATTCTAGGCAAACAATATGTTGGAGGTTGGATGGATTGCGCTTCAACGATGATATCCAAAGGAGGTTGGCGGAATTGTGGAGTGAAGCATCGTACAATTCAAGTTAAAGATCAAGTTCAAGCTTCATCCGCAAGTGTACCAAGTCAAGCTTAATTGAAGATCAAGATTGCTTGGGTAATGTAGTTTTAGATTTTATATTATGTGTGTTATATACTCTAAGCTCAATATCTATACACACACATTTATTGGTTTCTTCGTATATATATATAGTCATATATTTATATATACATAAGTTTTGGTTTCTATGTATATATATAGTTATATATATACATATATGTTTTTGTTTAAATACATATGTTTTGGTTTCTATGCATATATATAGTTATATATATACATACATGTGTTTTTGAGTTTTCATGTTTATAAATATGAAATCATATATTTCATATTTACTATTGTGTTTTTGAAAACATTGCATAGAATATGCAATTTTGTGAAAATATGGTATTCATTGTTTTTGGACTTAACAATAATCATATACATATTTTATTAAGTCTATATAATCATTGTGCAAAGTTTCAAAACATGGTTTAGCCAAAATATCAAATTTCACATGTTTACATTTTCATGTTTTGAACTATTTTGCAAAATAATAATTTTTCACAAATGGGAAATGAAATTTGGAAAATTCTTTTTGTAACATGTTCACTTACATGTTTATATACTTTTCCCAAAGTTTCATAATTTTTGGACTTCATTTGTTATTTTTAACACATTTTTAAAAGTCTCAAAAATAGCTTTAAAAACATGTTTTGAGTGTATCAGATTTCGGTCGACCGAACCGATCGACCGAACCTGAGTTCATATGCTCACTGGGCGACAGAGAGTCTGTCGGTCGACCGGTCCGGTCGACCGAAAGCTCCATCGGTCGACCCGAGAGCTTTTTCAGCTTCCAACGGCTAGTTTTCTTACCGTTGCTGGGGCTATTTCTGTCTTTTTGCTTGGGGTTTTTGGCTGAGTTGTGAGAGGGTATAAATACCCCATTGCCTTCAACTCTCAAGCAAAGCCAAGAAGTTTTTAAACAAGGGTTTGAAGAAGGGTTTAAGCTTGTTTAAGGGTTTGATTTAAGCTGTTTTGGTTTTCACAAGTGGAGGAGATTATCTTCTTGTTTGGGCTTCAATCTCCATTTCTCCATCTTGTCATCTATTGAGAAGTTTTCTAAACTCTACTCTACATTATATAATTAGGTTGTGGGATAGTGTGACATTGAGTTGAGTCTAATTGAGTTCTCACATTGTTAGAGAGAACAATCATTTGTCATATTGTGCTTATTGTGAGATTCACTTTGTAATACACTTGTACACCGAGTGAGGAGTGTGTGGTGAGAGTCGGGGATCGTTCCAAGAGGAGTGGCGTCGGTTGACGTGCCTAGGGAGAGGTTATAACCGAGCACTTGAGGGAGACACGGCTAAGTCCAACACTTAGTGGGTGTAGAGTGGGATTACAATAGTGTGTTGATTGTAAAGTTTTCGGTTAGCTAGAAAACCGAGTGTGAGGTGTAAACGTTATTCGGGTGAACGTAGAAAACCCGGTTGTGATAGTGGATTTCTCCCCGGGAGTGGGGAGCGGAGACGTAGGACGGAAGGTCCGAACTCCGTGATCATATTGCTTGTTTGAGTTTGTCTTTGGCGTATTTGTTTTTGCATTCATCTTATATCGCCAATTGTGCATTGCTCATTTATTTCATCCACTATCTTGTTTAGATTATCTATCCTTGTGTTGTTTATATATCCTTGCACATACATTGCCTATATCTCTTTGTTAGGATATATCTTGTTGTTCATATTGCTTATCCTAGCTCATATATATTGTTGTATTTTATACTTGCTAGGATAACTTATTAATAGTTTTAATTGGCATTTAAATTGGATTAGATTAGCATAAGACCCTAATCACCCCCCCTCTAGGGTCTAACAATTATTCGAATCAAAGAGAATTATACAATATTGTAGAGAAGCTAATAAGCAAATGAAGTGAATCGACGAAGCGTACAAGTCAACGTAACACGCGAAATGATAAAACAACGAAGAAACAACTCAGCCAGGAGCTGTGTTTCGCCCAAAAGAGGTGAAACACCATATGTGTCTCGCCCACACCATGTGTGTCTCACCCATGGTAAGTTGTAGGTATCTTCGTCAGCTTTCCAATGCATCTTTAATCACCTTATTCCGAGATCGGACAAGAAAGTTAGACCCAAAATACCCGAGACAGTCTAGACTGTTTCGTACCTGTTGGTGTCTCGCACATTTCGGCCATGATAAGATTTGATTCTAGAGAATCTCAAAAGACAAAATTTGTAGGTCTTTTCGTCATCTTTCCAATGTAACTTGAATAACCTTATTCTAAAATTGGACGAGAGAATTAAAGTCAAAATTCTAAAGATAGTACAAACTATCTCGTACATGTGCGTGGCACACCAAACTATCTTGCACAAAGAACTAAAATTTTGGTCATAATACAATTTAATTATGAAGAAGCTCAAAAGACAAAAGTTGTAGGTATTTTCTTTATCATTCCAACACAACTTGAATAACATCATTTTGTGGTCGTATGAGAGAATTAAAGCCAAAATATCGAAGATAGTACAAACTATCTCGCACATGTACGAGACATCCCAAACTGTCTCGAACAAAGAACTAAATTTTCAGCCAAGATAAAATTTGATTCTGGAGAAGCTCAAAAGACAAAAGTTTTAGTTTTTTTCTTTATCTTTCCAACGCAACTTGAATCACATTATTCCGAAGTCGGATGATAGAATTAAAGCCAAAATACCAAAGACAGTACAAACTGTCTCGCACATGTGCGAGACACCCCGAACTGTCTCACGTCCAGAAGTTCCCGAAACGCGTTTTTAACAGTTTTCTTAGGATTTGATCATTCTACTACCTCTCTAACTACTTTGGGAACATCCATAAATATGGTTAAGCGGTTATTAACTAATGATAAGGTCAAATTATCAATTCCTATCTTAAAACGCTGCATCCGGAGCCTATAAATACAAACCTAGGGCCCCTACACACAGGGGATCTGAAATTTAAGTGAGGTGCTATCAGATCTGAAGGGAGCCATGAAATTCAGAGGAGCTAGGATGAGGTTCTGATGAATTTGAGAGATGCTAGCGAGATCTTGGCGAATTCCTGTGCATAAAAAGTGGATTTCAAGAGATCTGAAGCCCGTTCCACCATTCATTGAGATTAGACTTTGTTTTGATCTCGAGAAGAGTAGTAATATCACTTTGTTGAGATTATTTACTTTTGCAATTATTTTTTGTGAAACAAGAGTATTAAAATTTTGTTCTATCAACCAGATCTGATCCGTGGCGGTCTACGGACTAACGTGTCCCCGGCACAGGCAAAGATCCCACACAAGAAGCGGGTGATAAACATCTTCATGTGTTTGAAGAGAGTTGCAATTCTTGTTTTATTTTTGTAAGCGAGTAGTCTTATAAAAAGATTAACTCTTTTGAATTCATTGTATTTGATAAACGTGTAATGTATTCGACAAATAAACTAACTTTCGACGCAAACACGCTGGTGACCACAGTGGGAGGTAACAGTCTCGCTGCCGAGACTGTCGTGTCGCAACCAAAGATCAAGATCCAAGTTGATTAGGCTGTCGAGTACGAGTTCGACAAAACCAAGGTCAAGGAATATTTATCCTCATCTTCATCAAAATCCTCCTCTCCCTACAAATGTTGAAAGATATTTTCTTTGAAGGATGCATATTCACCAATGAATACTACAAGTGACTCCTCTCTAATCAAGGAGTTATCCAATCAAAGTACGCCAACTCTGACGAAAATGGCTCATCAGAGACGACGCCAACACTAAGCTTGTCAAATCGCCAATGAATTGGAATAAGTCGACGAGGTTGGATATTACGCAAATTTGGAGTCCATGAGGCATCAAGCAACCGAATCACTTCAATAGCGTGTTGCTGACAAATACTCCAAGTCATCGACATAAGAATGGATCATTATCAAAAGAAATCATTCAACCCGGAAGGAGCGTACTTGAAGGTGTCGTACAGTGCCGCACATGCTCGCACCCTTTTGCAAAAGGCACAAGGCATGAAGAAGGAAGAGGTGGCCAAAAAACCACCAAAACTACGCTAAGTATGGAGGCTGAAATCCAAAACAACAACTCAGATAAATGCCAAGATGCTCGGAAAACACGAGCCACCCAAGAGTGGCTCGGCCAAGGCCGTGCCACCCCACAAAGGCTCGGTCAAGGTCGTGCGCTCGGTCA